TTGAATCAGCTTTGCAAAACAGATGCTATGGGAGGAGAGGACCTTGCAGGGCAGATGCTACGTGAGCTACGGGTCTCTAGCTGGGCATCTCCCACTTGGTCTCAACATGACTGGCAACAGCTTCCTCTTCAAAGGACCTGTCATATGAAAGCTGACATCATTTTGCTTTTAAAAAGCAAGGGAGGGAACCTGATGGAGCAGGGAAGGGACTGCACAGGCTGACAGGATCCAACAGACGAAGCCCCAGAGTCTTCAGGGGTTTTGTTGTGCGAATAAACAAATACAAACAAATAATAAGGAGGGTGAGAGACACCAGAGATCCCAGTGCCAAAGGTACATGGCAAAGCTATGAACTCTAGAAAACCTGGGAGGGTGAGACAGGAGTAATCCCCTATGGAGGTCAAGTACATTTCTGCTCTCGCCCCATCAACACTCCACATCTACACTGGAGGAGAAAACCAGAGCAGAGTCTGACACAGAGAGGCGGAAAGGAAAGCAAAACCCATGTCTCAGTGGGAAAAAAGGAGAGTACGGCTGTTTCCGTTTCCACCTGGTGAGAGAAGCAGGAGAACATCCACACTGGAAGAGACGTGCTTCACCACAGCACTGTGTTCAGCCTTCACGCATGAAAACAGGAGTGGCACCGGTGAGACTACCGTAAAAGGATTAAAGGAAGGATGAAATGGGAACTCAAATTGCAGCCTAGCAACTGAACTAGAGTTACTGATGGAAGAGAAAAGTCTCCCTTTGTTGCTAGAAATTGTCCACTTTTTCCTAGGTAAAGCCAGAACTTGGATGGTGCCGGGAAGACCCAGATATGGTTCCAGCTTTTCTATCAGCCTTTGATTTAAAGCTGAACAAACCACAGATGAGCAAGTTAGCTTCTTAATCCTAGGATTAATTTCTAGCTGTCAAATGTTTAGCAGCCTGGATTCCTCATTACTGGAGCTAAGGAGCCAGAACAGTTTAAACTGATCGGTGCTCTGCATATTGCAAACTCAAACCCAGGCAGGTGTATACAAGGGTAGCTGAGGCAGCCACAGTCAGACAGCAGAAAGATGTCGAGCAGTGGCAATACCTAGGACTTTAACCAGGCTAAACTCAAGGCCAGCAAGGCCTAGAACACATCTGGTAAGGAGAAAACAAGCTACCAAGTAGGCTTGTCCTTTCTGAGCCTTCCTCCTTCCAAGTTTAAAATCCCAGATGCTGATTTTTGCCCCGAATGGGAGGCAGGCAGGACAGCCGTGCGGTGCTCTCCCTCCTGGGCAGGCTGGAGCGTGAGAAAGCTAGAGCTGATTTAAGTCAGATGTTGCCTCTAGAGATTGCAGCCATGCTCTGCTACTACGTAGTCTCTGCTGTCCTGGCTGCCAGATTCTTGGGCAGAAGAGTCTCTGGGTCAGATATTTAGTCTTGCCTCATTTTCCTCATTCCTAGTAAATGACTGCTGGCAGGTCCAGTTATTATTGGTGTAATATTGGCAGTACCCCGTTGTTAGCAGAGAGAGAGGGGGATGAGGAGGACGCAGAAGTCTCCATCAAATGGACAGGGTGGCAGCCAAAGGGAACAGCAACAAACATGACCACTTAACAGCAGCTCCAGCCCTTAGGTCACTGCGCAGTGGTGTTCCCTCTACAGGGCCCCAACCAGCCCTGCTCTCCGGCCAGCTCTCCCTGGCATGCAGAGTGCTTAACCAGAAGCTCATCTGTACTGTGTCCCCACCATCCTCTTAACAGACAGTTGCTTGTATGCATTCTCAAAATGAATCAATTAGCATTACCAGCAAGTGCTATACAAACCTTCCTGATGACGAACTCCAGCTCAAGGGCCTGGTAGGCTGGATTCACAGATACCTTCAGAGGGAGAAACAAGAAGGTTGATCAGAGCTATGCTTCCCTTGAAAACCCTCTCCCCTAATACACACTCCAATAGAAAAGTTCTCCCAGGGATCAGCCACACCCAAAGCCTCTCCTCCTCTCCAATACGCAAAACTAAGAGCTCCCCTCTACATGGATTTCACATTCACCAGAAACATTAGCCGAATCCTGTGTTTGCATGAAAGAAAACAATCAGAAAAGAAGTTTATGTGAGGTCAAATAGTCACAATAGTTTCACAAACTGAAACCAGACCTCCTGTCTCCCAGGCAGATATTCAGTCCACTGAACTGAAGACTGAAAACTCAAAGGCAAGTCAGTTTTCTTAACAGACAACCATGAAAAGAGCAGTTTTCTCCCGTCCAGCTCTCCACAGAAGCTGTACTGGCCACTGGAGTCGAGTACACATCAGGTTCATACCGAGCTGTGCTCATCCCTGCTGTTACTGTGTCTTAGCAGACACCAGGATGAACCACGATGAAGAAAATGGACCAGAAGGTACAGTGCAGTCCTTACTGCGGTGTACTGCCTAAATAAGACACGCTTTGGTGAATGTGCCAGGTCATACTCTCAAATGAAAATTGGCTTTGGGGGATACACAACTTGGACTACATTTCTAAGTGAGTATTTGCACCATGAAGCAATACAGGTCCTGTTTAGGAGGGATCTAAATAACTGGTCACTTTAGGACAGCAGCGTGTTACACAGAAATGGTCCTATAGGCAAAAGCGTGTCTCCATCTATCATCGGCTGCCGCAAGCTAGCGCCCAGCAGTCCATTTCTCGCTGCTCCTTCCTCTGCAGTCTGCTTTCCCACGCAGTGGAGGACAGACACAGAGAGCTGCACAGATCTTGTTTAAATACTGGATTCAGTTATAGCCAATGTGCTGGGTAAGAGCGTGGAAAAAAAGAGACAACAAACTCTACTCTCCAGTATCTCCTATCGCTTCTTTGTCTCCATTTCCTTTCCCAAAAGGCTGCTAAAAACCCAGACACAGCAAACTCCTTACCAGGATGATTCCTGCCTGGGCAGTAGCAAACTGCATGAGAACCCACTCATATTTATTGGGACCCCACATCCCCAGGCGGTCTCCCTTCTTCAGGCCAAGGGCCAGAAGCCCAGCTGCTGCCTGGTCTACCTGTAAAATAGAAGACCAGAGCCTGAGGATCACACACAGGATGCAGTGGCGGCTGTCTCCAGGCACTGCTTTCTGGGGAAAAAAGCATCATCTTCGCAACTGGAATTGGACAGCATCGCCCGAGTCGGAGCACAGAGCAGCCCCTCCTCAGCAGGTTGACTGAATCATAAAAGTAACAAGCGTAGAACAGTACAACAAAGCAGGAAGGAAACCAAAACAAGCAGTTATGTACAAATAGCTGCAAATTAATTCCTGCCCAAAGACTACTTAATGTCTAGCTCCTCATCAGCTCAACTTTGGACTAAGCCATACCTGTATGCTGGGCCCATCTACGCCATTGGGTCTGCCTCCATTCTGGCACATCACATCCTTCTAAAAGGACTCAGGGGAAGAAAACTGGCCATTTTTGACCAGTTTGGGGTTCCTATCTTCATTCACTTGAATTCAGCCACTATATTAACCCGATTACTTTATTTTGCAAGATGGTAAGCACGTTTCAGGTGTGCAGATGTATGTATAGATATTTGGAGGTATTCATGAAGCTTGTATGGTTTTGTTATGAATTATCTACCTCGTAGGAGATACGAATCCGAGGGATAGCTATTCTCTGAATCACAGCCTACCTTTTAAAACCAGGGTGAACACAGCTAATCTTATTTGTCTGAATGGATGTAAATAAAACACTAGTAAATCTAAACAACAGTTCTTCCTATCCAAGATCATATCACACATTTAGTAGAAAATTTCCATGTAGTAAGCCTTGCAATACTGCCCCTCCATTCAGAATACATACAAGCACGTATTTGCATGTAATATGTATGCATACATACACATGCATAAATACACCCATACGTGTTTTCGCATATTATTTTGAGACCAAGCCCTTGATGTTGCTCAGTTGCCTTTGTGCTTGGACTAGAAGCCTCCACACACTCAGGACCTCTGACAGTCAGAGCAGAGTGACTAATACAAGAGCTGGAGCCTTCTCCAGTGGGGAAAACCACCACGACTCAGCCCACAGCACACCAGATAAGGGTGATTATTTTTAAGTATGAAAGTTCATTCTGGGACATTCAGCAAGCATTTTACTTATGCTGCCTTCTCCCTTTGATCTCGAGACTCTATGGAAGACAAAGGCAGCACACGCCCATCGGGTGTTTACCCTCTGCTCAGGGCCACGATGAGGATCCACATAGCACACACCTCACTCCCGAGCTGAGCGATAAAACCGTTTTCCATTACCCCATCCCGCCTGCTGCTGCTGTTATGCACATGGCCGGGCTCTCTGTGGGGCGAACCAGGCACTCACCTCCTCTTTGAACTGAGCAAACGTCTTCCGAACCCCATCTCGGCAGAAGACCAAGGCATCGCGGTCAGGAAACCGCTCGACGGTCTCCTCCAGGCACTGGCCCACGGTTTTGGTGAGCAGAGGGACGTCTATGGTCCCCTGGACATAGCTGTTGGTCACCCTATGGGAGGCAAAGGGCACGCCTGTGTGCAGGGCACTGTGAAAGAAAAGGAGAAGAGCATATTTTTTAATATAATCCATCAGTACAATTTTCACAGCACAGGCAGAGCCTCCACTCCTCCCCTGGAAACCCGGACCCTGCTCGTGACAGGGAAGGAACCTGCACCAGCCCTGCAGACTGGGCACAGCCTGGTCCTACAGTCATTCACCTGGGGTGAAAACTATCTGGACCTTTCAGAATATCTGGATAGATTATGGACTTTGCTAAGCGATGGCAACCAGTTTGGGTCTTTCTGCAACATTAAATAGTGCAAATAACTTGGCAGGAACACAACTAAATTGCAGGGAAATTGCCCAGACTGGCTCAACTCCTGTGCAGAGATCTGTCATTTTATCAGTAGCCAAAAGCATCTGCAGAGGAGAGTCTAACCCTGCAGAATAAAAACTGTTTACAAGAGTTCAAAGAAGTTGAGCTTCGTTACAAAGTCATGGTCCCTGTATACAACAGCAAGCTGGCTGGACATGCTCTGCTATCTCTGTCAGATAGACTGTGAAGAGTTCATAGTGCTGAAGGCACCATCAATACATCAAGGAACTACCAGTGAGACAAGGGGTGAGAACTGCCAGGGCAATAGCACAGCAGGCTCACAGGGTGGAGGAGCCTACACCCACTGCAAACACAGGATGGGAGGAGAGCAGGGAGGTGTTTCAGCAGAGCAGCACCTGGGCAGGAACGCATGATAGGGTCCTTGAGAGGAGCATGGAGACACTGTGCTGGAGGCCAGGCTGGAGAGGGACCAAAGGTAGGAGAGGCAGCAATGGGAAGATGTGGGCAGGGCGGTAGGAAAAAGAATTTAAAAATCATTAAGGCTTTCACTGAGGTCTAATCAACCCCTCAAAGCGCAGCTCCTCACCATCCAAGCGCTGCAGTTCATGCCCGTTTCTCTCTCCACCTTCTCCTGCCCCCAGCCTCCCTCTACCCCAGCAGCCACCCCCCGCCACACTGCCCTCCTCCCCGGGCAGCCCCCAATTTCTCTGTCCCTCCTCACTGCTTCCCTGCCGCTCTCCATGCTCTCAGCTCCTCCATTCCCACCTTAGGAGATGACCAGGAAGGACAGGGTTAAGTGACACTGGTGGGGTGCGTAGCTCAGAGGCAATGCCCTGCCTTTGCAGATTCAGTGTATAACGGGGGGGATCTCTGCCCTAGAGAGGAAAAACAGATCGGCCTGAACTCAGATTTTCCCCCGTTCTTTACAGGATCGACATTCTGCAAAGACTGGGTGCTATGATCCCCCAGAGACTTGTTTTCCTGCCCACGAGAAACAAAACCCAGCATGAAGCTACTCCCTCTGCGGGGCAGAGTTCAGCTTCAAGCACCCACCACGATTTTACCTCCGGAGGGAAGTTTTGCTCTGCGAGCGGAGCAGAAAAAACTCTTGCCCTGATGCATTTCAGCAGAGGGAGGGTTGTGCAACTCCCACTGACCCCGGTTGGGATGTCCCTCCTGGCAGAGCTCTTGGGCAACTCACATCAGGGCTGTAAGGGCTGCCCGAGCAGGAGGAGGAGGGAGGACAAGTGCTAACCCGAACGCTTTCATTGTTTGAAAGCTCCTAGGCAAGGCATGTAGATAAACCAGGAGATGAAAGAGAGTGCTGCGGAAGAAAAGCCCTTAGAAATATTTGTTATATAAAACAAAGGTTGAAAAAGCTCTGCCTAGCCCAAGGGAAGGGTGTGGGAAGCAGTAAAAGCCACAACGGCGAGCGGTGAAGCCACTGCCCATCGCCGTAGGGTGGTCTCAGACGCGCAGCTCGGCCGGCAAGGAGATGAGGAGATCGCAGGCCGTTGGCAGAAGAGTTTAATGGAAACAACCACGCTCACATCTCTCTAAAGCCAAGTCGCTTCCATTTTCAGCGGAGCCTGTCCTTAAACACTCCGCTGCTCTCTGCCAGCCGGGGCACAGAGAGGGCAGGCCGAGAAGGGCCGGAGCGGCCGGGCAGCAGCTGCTGACCGCATTGCGCAAGAGCCCTTTCCCCAAGCACCATCTCCGTGGCCGCGGGGAGCGAAGCCGGCTCTGCGCTGGGCTGGAGTGGGAGCAAGCAAACAGAAGCATTTTGTGGATTGCACAGCTCCTCTGGGCACACCACCCCAGGAACTAATTGGTAAAAAAATTTGGTCCAACACATTCTTCTATCACATGACTGAAAAGCAAATAAACAAAAGCCCACCAACAAAAGGAGACTGGAGAGGGGAGGAAAAATTATTAGAAAACTCAGGTTGTGAGAAAATTCAATCAAAATCCAAACTGTCCAGTTGAAACAGTCTCCTGGTTCCTGCAGTCGATGTTCCAGAGGTACTTGCACAACCCTGCATCGCTAACAAAAAGGGTGATATTTTACGCTGTCATGTCTTGGCAAAGCCCCAGGCAGACCGCGCTTTCTGGTCTTACTCTCAATTTTTTCCAGGCCTGAAGAGCCAAAGGGTTTCGCTGACCTCACGGGAATCAGATTTTCACACCAAATGCAAAAGGGTGCTAAGCCAGAGCCAAATGACAGTTCCATCTCCAGCCTTCACGGCTACGGCTTCCTCCCTAACCCCAAACATGGGGATGAAAGGGCATCAAAGAGCAGTAAAAGACGTCTTTATAATGCCCCGCAGTCCAAAACATTGTGAAGGCCCTGCTGGTTCCCTTCACGGTGTGAAAACACACACAGCTTGCTCTCAAAGGTCCCAAGCATTCACGCCTTCAAATGAAAGCATCAGCAGCTTTGAAATCAGGGCTTAGGATATCTCATGGTGATAACCCAGAGTCACTACGTCCTCTCAAAGCACTTGCTCACGTGGTTTCCTCAAACACATTAAGGAAAGCAAAAATCACAGCTGTCATCTAGTTTGAGCTCCCTGAAATCTGCCCTGACATTCGCATGTGCTTCGGCATTTCTCTGTCACTTTTCTCCCGGCCGTGGCACCAGTGAAACGTGCGGGATAAAACACAGGAGGCTGCTGGAAGCACTGGGGGCTGGGAATGGAAGGAACAAGGCAGATACACAACACATTCACTGTCAGTGGCAGCACGCAGGAAGAAACGTAGGGACATCTCCCTACTGCCTACAGCCAACAGCCAGTGTGTATATCTGATCTGAAAGCACTTATCAAGAGACCTCTATAAACAAAGGGTCCAAAGGATTTAGAAATAATCTTTTTGTTCGTCTTTGCTACAGAAAACAAGTTATTCACCCTCCACCTCTTCCTATGAAGCATCTGCTACTGCTGGAGAAAAAACAAGACCAATGGTCTGATGGTCTGATCTTACAGCAGCTCTCATTTCACTGCCTCAGCTGGAAGAGAGCAAATAAAACTCCGCTTGCTCTTGGGTCTCCGCACAGACTGTGAAACGCTGCTCTCAGAGGGTGCATGCCTTCTGTTGGCAACACATTCCAGCAGCAAGACAGCCTGTGGTGCCTGCAAACGAGCCAGCCTCTGCACTCGGCAGCTCCTGCAATGCTCCGCGACCCTGGAGTCCAGCAGATCAACTCAACAGAGAAACGTCAGAGACCCAGGAAAAACTCAGCCCCCTCCCGCCTCGGGCAAGCAGCCGAATGCTGGCAGACCCCAAAAGCACTCCTGCTGACGGCGGCGAGCAGAAACCAGCAGACTGAGGCAAGCACTCTCCACTGACTATTTGTATTTATCTCTGAATAGCCCCAACTGACATTTTAGAGTCGTTGATATAAGATAACCGCTTCATTCTTCACTTTTAACCCTTCC